AAATCCAGTGACTCTGTCCCTCGTACCCTATAAATATACAGTACTCTGAATCTATAGCTTTACCTAGAATGGCAATAGGGGCATGAATACCCTGGCAGATTCAAGGGGCCCAGCGCTTTACAGGGGCACAGTGGGGGCATGGATACCCTGGGAGTCTAACTCAAGAGACTTAAGATCCACCCCCCGCTCTATGCAGGTCATTTAGTGCCAGTCTGGAGGGGGGGTAACCCACAGAATCCGGACCACCAGAGTTGAAGGGGCAGGATGCTTTAGCTCCTCCGGGTGACGTGCATATCAAGCCGAGTGCGAATCCTCGGCAAGCCATCCAGCAATGCATTTAATGTCTCCCAATGCGGCAGCAAATGGAAGCAGCTCGTCTGGAGGCTGACGCGGTCCGGCCTCGGCCCAGGTGCGGGGATGGGGAGGAAGTGTGGTACAATGACCCCCCCAGCTCAGGACGCATGTGCTGTCCTGGATCTGAGAGCTGCTTCACCCGGCTGGGGCTGCTGTCAGATACAGGAGAGTGATCACGGTCTTTGCTGCTGTTGGGAAGGGGGCTCAGTGTACTCTACATCTAAACAGCCTGCCTGGGGGGGGGCGGGGGGGGGGTCACGCAAGGGCCCGTGGTGATAAATGAGGATCAGGGTTCATACTTGGCCCTTGTCCTGGCTGCAGTGTCACTCCGTCTGGGGTTCACTGGCATTTCCCAGATTCCTCCCGCCATGTCTGACACGGTCACCGGGTTTGCGTCCATCTTCCAAGGCTCGCCGTAGGAATCCCGGCATTCCAGCCGCAAGCGAATTTTTACAGCACGCACGTAAATACCACCCCTCTCTGCGCGAAGCCTCGTACTCTGACAGGCCCCGGGCCCCAAGGGCTCCCCCTGAGGGCCCCGAGCTTTGAGACCCAGGGTGAGTGGCAGCGACACCAATGAATCAGGCGACTCAGAGCAGAAGTAAACACAGCTGCTGACACAGTGCAGGGCTTCTCCCCTTCCCCTTTTTTTCGATAGCGGGCAGAAAAACAAAAGCCGCTGCGTCGCCAAGGGCCTGTTTTACTCTCCGACATCCTGCTACACTGATAGACAGCGGCGGTGTTGCTGCACTTCACTCACTTCCGCTGTCACTCCCACATTATTCGCTGGTGTCCCGACGCGGCTGAGAAAGCGGAGAAATCTGGGGAAAATCAGCCCAGCCCGTGATAACGGTACGGAATGGAAGGAACGTTCAGGAAGGAATTTTGAAGAACGGGGGAAGTTTCTACATATACAAGCATTTTTCAAAACATCCATCCATCCATCCATTCACCTTTCAACCGCTTATCCAATACTAAGTCACGCAGAGCCTATTCCAGGAAGCGGAGGGCAGGGGGACACCCTGGATGGGATGCAGACCCAAAGACACACACACAAGCTGAACCTAACAGCATGTTTTGGGATGTGTAAGGGACGGAGAGTGCCTAGTGGAAACCCACACAAGTACAGGAAGCACACACACACTCCAGCAGCACTCGAACCCCCAGCCCTGGAGGTGTGGAGTTACAATGCCGCATGATGAGCCATCATACCACCCATTTCATTAATTACTATTTCGTATATTTTACATTTTGCTGATCTATCTTGTTTACAAGGCCTGCTGCCGGCACGGACGGCAAAATGGAGAGTCATTCTGGAAGCATTCTGACGTTCACGTCGCACAAACCCTGCATTCCTCCTTCTTCCACATAGCAGGCAGTGCTGGCTCTCGATCTGGGAAGACCATCCAGACGAGGGAGGCCCACCTTCCGAAGACGTGCATAATACCTCCCGTCCTCCCCAGGACCGCGCTCGCCTTTGTACGGTGACACCCCGAGGTTCAGCATGTCCATATATAGGCGCTCTGTACTGTAAGCCTGTCGGGATGGATGCTTGTGACATATATCAAACCGGCGCGGCCTTAACAGGCCACGGGAGCTTCGCTGCATGCCATCCTGCTTTTTATTACGCCGCTATTCTCCATCATTCCACCTGGCCCCAGCTCGGGATGTCTGAAGAGTTACGAGAAGCCTGGCGGGCTCTCGCTGATGATCAGACCAGATACCCCTCACGCTTTCACGTTATTCTCAGGATCCGAGTCGCCATCTCGCTACGGGGTACGATCCTCCGTGGGGGGAGGGGGGGGGGGTTTATTCATTCATTACAGAGTCCAGAGATACCGTCCCCCCCCCCCCCGGCTGAAAACCAGAGGAAGAGGTGATGCGGTCCAAACAGCTCAACCCCGCGCCAGCCATCATTGTTCTAGAGGTGAATGTGTCGGAAAGTGTGAAGCTGAGCTTTGTCATATCCGACTACACCATAGGCTGAGAAAAAAAGATGCTGACAGCGTACTAGACGTACCCTCAAGCCACTCGGGAAGGATGGTGGTAGCCACTTAATCACAGCCATCTGATCTCAATTAATGGACCTGTATGTAATACAGTTTTGATGCCAAACCTCAACTGTCTTTTTTCCATTTGCATGTGCTTTTCAGTCGGCTTTGCCTAACATATACAAGGGAGGATGATGATCTAATGGGTCTGGATCTTTCTCTCTTTGTGTGAAGAGGGACGGAGGATAAGGGCTCATAGAAAATGCAGCTGAAAAGTGCACAGCATCTTAGGGTGTTTTCACACTTGGTCCGTTTCATCCTTTAAAGCGAACTCAGATCGATTAGTCAGCATTTTTTGCATATATGTGAACACGCCAAACGAACTCAGACCCCGTTGAAACAAACTGAACTGAGACCACATCAAGAGGTAGTCTCAGTCCAGTTTGCTTTTAGTCTGGGTCACGGTTCGTTTACGTTGTGCATTGTGAACACAAAGCGGTCCTGGCTTGCTTCGACAATTTTTACCCTTTAGCTTTGCCGTAGGCAGATCACGTGGCACAGTCCCGGGAAACAAGCAAAAATAATGGCTGCAAAATATGCAAGTTTTGTGTTCAGAAGTAATTGTTCTATTTTGGTTTTCCCTGTGTCTGTGGGCTATTTTCAAGACCGACCACGTGATGACAAGTATTGCAGCAGCCATCTTGTTTGAAGTGAAAACTACCCAGAATCCAAAGCTGTAAAGGTCTGTCAGCTCCATAAGAATTTGAAGTATGAACAGAAAAAGGACTGAGGCCCCATCTGAGCTGCAGTAAACCAGAAAGTGAACTGAGTCCCCTTTCAAATGAACTCGCATTGTGAACACAAAAAGAACTGAGTTCCCTTTCTGTTGGTCCACTTTTGGGACCACTTTTGGGAGTTCAGTTCCTTGGAAGAGGACTATATGTGAAAACACCCTTAGACTGAAAGCAAACTTGTTTTTTTTAATCAAAACACATGATGCAAGATGTTTCTGCAAACCTTCCACCTTCCACCTGCGCTGCTGATCCGATGTTATCCTGCAAGCTCTACTGTCTGACGCTGGAGGTGCACCAGTAACTGCCAACAGGCATATTTTGGACACCTCATGACACCATCACACAAACACCATTGATAACCCTCATTAGGTGGGACGAAACCGGCTTTCACTGGGTAAAAAAAAAAGCATAAAAAGTCAGGACCAGTTCACCTCTGGTTCCTCTGGTCACCCACGTCACAGAGCCAAAATGCCATTGTCAATCGGTGCACGGCTGATTATTTAAGCAGCTGTTTGGCCTCTTCCTCCGACCACATTTCTTTGCTCCCCGATAATCATGGCCTCCCCTTCACTGTCGGATGCATTGATTGAATGTTGGCAGACTTGCTCCTCGCTTCAGCATGTCCACACATTCCTCTCACTTTCATTCTACAGTACAGCTATAACACACTTAACCACATTCTGGGATTTCCTGGCTGTAATCTGCAAAAAGCTCCGTTTGTAACTGCATTGCCAAAAAGGCTATGCTATGCTAAATGCAATTGATGGTTTCAATGATCCGAACATGGTGCAAGTATGTAAACTGGAGGTTTTTGCCGTAATCCAAGGAGTATAAGGACGCGCCAGAAGCTGCTCAGGCAACAGACACATAACCAATGATTGAGGATTGAAATTTTATGTTTGTACAATCACTGGTTCCCCCCAGCAAAAAGCCATAACCTGCAAGTGTGGCAGACACTCTGCATGGGGTCACGTTGGAGCAGATGGATTTAGAACTCATAACCATCTGTAACTTTGCCCATATACATTCCATACCAAACCAAGGTTCAAAGAAGCAGACGCTTTTGTAAGTGGTAAGGTGAATACATTACAGACTATTTGACCTTAAAGTCAATGCCTCCTCACAAAAACGACATAGTTCAGTACAATCCTACACGAACCCCCACCACTAAGCTCAGACCAGCTGTTAAACATCATTTTTGTTTAACACTTATAGCCTTGTTTAATATATTTGTGGTTTAATTGGTATGTGCTACAGGCACTTTTCTGGTACTGTGTATGCTTTAATAGCTTTATTCCTCCATTCCTGCACTCCTATCGCCATAGAAACAGCAAGGCCCCACCCTGGATTTGAATAAATGTGCTTTCTTGGCATTTACCCAGAAGCCTTTGTTCCCAGGCCCTTTCCTTCCACAGCCGATATGCAGATGCGGTTCAGAAGGTTCCAAGCAGCTGAACCCCCTGTGTGCCGCCCCCCGCCGCCGTCCCCCCGAGGCCCTCAATGGTACGCACCAAAGCACTCATGCTGCAGGCCCTTGCCGTAGTAGCCCTTGTTGCAGACGCAGTCGTACTGGCCCGTGTGGGTGCCGCACAGGCAGCTGGCCATGGCATCGCAGCAGTCCCCGGCAGACTTGCATAACGAAGAGCAGCGGCCGCGTTCTTCCTGGATGTAGCTCCCCGTGGGGAGGTCTGGCACAAGGAAGACCAGGAACATGCGTGAGTCAGGAGGTGGCCAGCCCACATGAACCTATCTCCAGAGGGAGAGAGTTCAGGACTTTTACAGTGCAGATGTTGACCTGCATGGCACCATCTGGGAGACACTCTCTCAGCAGACTTTATGAGAAATGTATATGCGCTCAGAAGGAATGTTCCCCTTGTGCACCACCCTTTCGTTAGCGTCTCATGCGTCTGACATATGCTAAATAAAATGCGCTAATTGACGCTGAAACGTGCTAACAGCTAAATGAAATGTGCTAAGTGGCTGATTCAGATGTGCTAACTGCTAAATGAAATGTGTTAACTACTAACTGAAATGTGCTAACTGCTAAATGTAGTGTGCTAACTGCTAAATGTAGTGTGCTAACTGCTAAATGAAACGTGCTAGCTGACTGAATTAAACTGGATGAGATTAGATCAAATTTATTGATCCCAGAGGGAAATTCTCGTGCAAGCAACAACAAGCATGTAGAGGACAGACGAGCATACACATATGTTAAGAAGGCTCAAAAATATGCTAAATAAATAACATTTGCTAACTGCTAGCTTTTAAATAAAATTTGCTAACTGCTAAATGAAACATGCTAACCGACTAATATACATATATTATTATCATACATCCCACCTTTGGCATATTGATTTGAGGGAGGCAGTGCGGACCTTAAAGTATATTGTTTTTTTGTTCAAAAAATCCCCCCTCCCTCCTCCACTCTCAAATGTTATCGGGAAATACCATTGCTTTTTAAAAGGCCGTCAAAATACCATATCCCGCAGTATAATATCTGGATGGTATGACGGTATTAAAAATGTCTGCAACGTCGAGCAGCTGAAACACTCAGTCACTCCGTTCATATTCACGCTAAATTTTAGCGTTAGCTAATTAGCGTTAGCATGACTATTCCCATGAACTCCAGGTATAAAAGCAGGTCTACAGGTGGCTGTTCCTGCAAACTCATGCCCAGAGCTCACCTTCATGGAGGGCGTGCCGGGCAAGAGCCTCGAACTCGGCGAAGGTGTGCACCAGGTAGCAATGCTCCTCCTTGGGGTGCGTGGCCATGTCGTTGAGCTCACGGATGTTCCCCTGCCAGATGCCGAAGGTGAAGATTTCCACGCCCTGATCGCGGAGTGAGGCCGCCACGGGCCGAGGGTCACCACCGTTGGAGTAGCCATCCGTGATGAGGAAGATCACCCGCGATGCGTTCTGCCGTGAATGACGCAGTATTTGCTGTAGAGGGAAATTAAAGCTTCATTGTACATTTACATTTATGATTATTTAACAGCCGCCTTTGTCCAAAGAGTCGTACTAATGACTCCGCGAGTCCTGCCACTCCTTCACCAGCCCACATGCGTGTCAAAATGCTATTATATTTGGTCAGGATATAGAGGGAAGCATGTTGTAGGACAGGATGCCAGAAACCGTCTCACACTGCAGCCGAGGCAAACTGCTTGTCAACACGAACCTAAATACTGAGTCAGAGACCGCAGCAGGAATCGCTGGGAAGTGGCTGGCGGATTTCGAGCAGGAAGTACGAGAAGCAGAGGAACAGCAAAGGGCCGGATGTGAGCGCCCCTTTCGTACAAACCACTGGAAGCCGTTTATAGAAACAAGTTGCATTACATGCCGCTTCGTAATTAGAGCAGGCGGTTCATAAACATTTTTTCCGTAGTAATGCGGCCGTATCTTTTACGGCCTAGTTGCTTTGGTGGTTCCATGTTATTCCTTACTTCTGAGTAACCGCTTGATTGGTCCCTCTGCCCTGTTTCTAAGCCCAGAACGCTTGATATTTACGCGTCTTCGGAGAGAAGGTGCTGTTTACGCACCTGCAGCATTGCAGCAAAATTAAGCATCAACCCGCTCCATATCCACACGACCTGTCAAGGGCAGTGGTGCGGCTGGTAGTGGAGCAGCAGTGTCGGGGCACAGTCTCTGAAGGCCCAACTCTGAAGCTCATTATCGAACAAAAGATGAGGGTGAAAAGCTTGGAGACAGCTGCGTAATTAAGACCGGAGGTCGACCCGGGATCCGGGATCCTCCCAGAACGGGACCGTGCCCAGCAAATACGGAGCCACTCAGATTAAGACGAGCTGGAGGAGAGAGGGATGGTGCGCAGAGAGAGGAGGAAAAGAATGGGTAACTCTGCTCTTCATTGTTTAATTGGCCAGACTTCAAGCGCGCCTGCGGGGAGAGAGTAATTACAGACACGCCGAGGCGACGGGCCCCTGGGGGCCCTCAAAGCGGCCTGCCGCTGGTTCCCATCACTGCCGGGCCACGCCCGGGCCGCTGATAGCTGAGAAAAGGCGGGCCTCGTTTATGGTAACCCGCTAATATAAAACGTGACCCTCTGCCTCGCCTGCCGCCGCCACAGTGATGTCAGCACGGCCTGCGGTTTCTGTCCTTTGTGCCACGAGAGGCTGTTTTCCTTTTTTTAAAGGGGCGGCGTTTGTTTGCTTTGCGTTTCAGCATACTGCAGACAAGGCCCAGACGCACCCCCCCGCATGCCCCACCCTTAATGGGGGGCTTTGACATTAGGCAGAGACTCCTTGTCTCCTTGTCTATCAAAGTGCTGGACTAGCAGAGTGAGACCCCAAGTGGCTGGGAGTGTGACAGACAGCCATGGAGTCTGGGACAGACGCCTTGCCAGGCTTTACCCCACAAATTTTGTTAGCCCTCCCGGCAGCAGACGCTGATCTTTTTAATAGACCACAGAGAGGGTGGGAGGTCGGCTGTACGTCTTAGATTCCAGACTGAAGTTCATTTGGAAAAAGACGCTCAATAAAGCACTGAAATAAGTTTGACGAACATCAACATTAATCTGTGTGTCACTGGTTCAGTCAAACTGCAGAATAAAGGCGGCCCTGCACAGGCCATGTGACCTGTCATGTGACCTGTGGCTGCTGTAATTAGCAAGGCGGCACATATTTATGAGGGAAAACGGCTGTAAAGAAGAGCGAGGGTCATAAAACCCGGGGCCAGACTCACTTTTGGCTCTGACATCCCACGGGCTGGGTAAATGGAGAAGGATCACACTGATGTTTGGGCGGACGGAGCCAAACGTCACCGTCATCAGGGCAACGTCAGTGACACTGCTGAGGCCCCCCACACAGGAGGATGACGCGACTTCGGCGGTCCAAAGGATGTCATTGTTCAGAAAATCTCCCATTATTTGTCATTAGGGCACAAATGCAGGACCCCCCCGCACTTTCTACCCCCAGGTGTTCTAGCAGAATGCCCTAGAATCCAAAGCATTACAGTGTTGATGGTGTCGGGACCTCTTTTTGGTCAGGCAGTACTAGGGCAGCCCATAGCTTTCTGCAGCTATGGAAGGGTGATGCATGTTTGCTACTCATCAATGTGTACCCAGTACAGGTCAATCACCGCGCTGAACTTCCTCCAATAATCTTCTGAACTTTATACTGTTTGCACTGCAACAAAAATGTAGCGATTCCTTGCTGAGGGACTGCCCATGTTTGGTTAGGATTTCTTACAAGGAGTTTATTTTTCCCCTAAATTCTTTTAATGAGACAAACAGTATAAATGTTTATCACATACCTTTCGTCTTGTGATTCCCTAAAAACTGCAACACAACTGGTTAAAGGCACTGCAGTCCCGTAGCAGATGAGCAGTTATGGATGGATGGATCTATGTACTTACTCTGTCCATGCGGCAACACTACAGAAACATCACAGAGTGCAGAGTCTGACCAGGGAAGAAGCATGCATCCCAGTACCGATGCCGCCTTCACGTCTGGCTCCCTGGCGGACACAGTGCAGGACTGATAATCACTCCCCAGAGTAAGACCCCACCCCGACTAAGCGTGCCGTCAGCCTGTCCCAGCGGCAGTCAGGTGAGCAGCCCTGCTCATTACTGTACGTCCTGGCTGCTGACGGGCCCTGCCCCCCCCCTCCCCAAGCTCGTTAGATACGCCGTGCCACACTCCCGCTCGCGGCCATCCGCCGTCTGACAGAAAACTGCATATTTAGGATTTTCATCCCATAAAACGGCTCTTTCCCTCACCCATCCTATCCTGTTGCATTACTGCGCCCGGTGACAGGGAATGTACTTAAGAAAATACACCAGCTTCCCTTCAAACTGCCTCCGTCAGCTCATTTTAATGGGCACAAACTAGCAAAAGTAAATATTTAGGAAAATGCTTCAAAATACTGCACATTAAGCTAAACGGTAAGAAAACAGAGGTAAATCTTGCAGACAGCTTTGGAAGGGACACTGCAATGTGAGGACTGCAGACTGAGAATTGTGTGCCTGGCATATGGGGCATCAGAGCATCTCGCCAATCTGTCACCCAGAGCCACTATTGGATGCAGGTCACCATCACGGGGGTGGGGGGAGATCCACCATCTCCCACTGAGGGGGTATGCCGTCTGCCCTCGGGCACCGTCATGCCCATAAGATTTGCATAATAATCATCATTTCTCATCCTAATGACTGTATTACGCTGTGGCCACGTTGACCTTTGACCCGCATTTGAAGCACAGTCAGCACGGGCGGTCGATCTCGTTCACGGGGACGTCAACAGATGGATGCAACCTAGCTCCGCCCCCCCCTCCCCCATGCTGAGATCTTATCTCCTTCCCCCAGGCTCACTTGCACTTTAATTGGCAGCTTTAGAGTGAGACCCAGCAGCGCCGGTGTGTTCTAGGCTCGCCTTCCTCATCTGGAACGGATTGAGGCCACCTGGCCATCTCTCAAAGGCAGATCAATGGCCTGGACGCCTGCCCCCTGAGTGCTACAGGCAGGCGCACACCCCCGCACACCCCCACACACCCCCACACCTCACCGCACCGTAATGTTACTGAGATCAGTCCCCATCCCGCTTTGATCAAAGCTCGACTGTTGAGGATACAGGAAAACTATAAATATTGAATAATACCAGCCTCACAAAAGCATAACTGCACCCACTAAAAATGCGTGTTCTTTAAATCATGCGGCCGCCATCAAATTATATAATCTCAGTGAACGCGTTCTCTCTTTCCTCCCTGGAGTAACCGAGGCTTCGCTTTGGCCTCGTTCCCCAGCCGTTTTATTGAGGCTGTAACGGCAAACCCCAGAGCTAATTGCCTCTAAGAAACAGGCCTTGCAAAAGCAGGCAGCAGGGAGAGTAAAGCATCCTGAGCACATTAGGGTAGAGGGGCGCGAAGAGCAGATCGCCGGCACAGAGACACGGCTCCCAACACATGCACCTCCCCGCCCGCCGGCGTGACACGCTCGCACGCCTGAGCTCCGCCATACAGACTCGCCGGCACAGAGACACGGCTCCCAACGCGTGCACCTCCCCGCCCACTGGCGTGACACGCTCGCACGCCTGAGCTCCGCCATACAGAGTAGCCGGCACAGAGACACGGCTCCCAACACGTGCACCTCCCCGCCCGCCGGCGTGACACGCTCGCACGCCTGAGCTCTGCCATACAGAGGGGCCGGTCGATGTCCGAAATGGGAAGCTGGTCATTTCATTGAAGAGACATGGCATGGGAACCCTCTTACCCCGACAATATTCGATGGGCAACTTTTTATGGCTCCGCCCCCCCCCACCCACCCCCAGAGGACAGTAGCTGTATATAAGTAAATTCAGCACAGCGAATATCGTTTCCGTCACCAGGATGAGGTCACATTTCATACTTGCAGGCTGCTCAGTTTAACCTCGGTTGCTCCCTGGATTTTATAGGTCTCTGTGTATCAGCTTTCCTGGTCACCTTTTGGATGTGGTCTGCGATGATGGCCGGTGCCTCACCTTTGACCTTTGGCTTTTGACCCAGGAGTAGCTGTCAGTGAGGCAGACAGCCAGGTAAATCCAGGCCGGTCCCCTCCCCGGATGGGTGTGTAAATTCACACAGATGCCACTCCGAGGAACCGGCTGCCGGAAAGAATGATGGAATCGGCTGCCCCAGACAGTATGAGTCAGACGGCCATCTCGGGAGTGAGGGAATCTCCATGGCACATCCAAGTCATTCCATGACTGCTAATGAGCCGGGGACATGATCGGGGTGGGGGGGTGGATTGGGCGAGATATGGGCACAGCCTGGTGCTGATCTATTACAGATTCATTTACTGGCACCCCACCTTATATATGAAGAAAAATGTCACTTTTTTCATTTATGGTTTTGGTGATAAAATGTATGAGAAAAGCTCTGAGGAAGTGAAGGGAAAGCTGTGACAAGCTGGGAAAGCTGGGAAAAGCTGTGGAAAGCTGTAAAAAACAGTGGAAAGCT